GAGAGAACGCCCAGCACGGCTCCAGTCCTTCCCTGTGGGCCAGGCTTTGACATCCATAGAGACCTTGAACTAGATATTGAAGGAACCTGTATTTGTGGCCATACTTTATTAAATTGTTCTAACTGTAAAGAGATATCAAAACAGCTAGAAGTAGAGTTGTCTAGACTTGACTTAAATATGGGGATCTTATGTGTAAAATCCATTTTCATAATTTGCAAATTACCTGTGGTACAAAGTAGGCAGCCTACGTTATCTGTATCTCACTGTCCCTAATTGAAGGTTCTAGCCAGAATCTCTCACTGAAGAAATTCTGTTTCTCTGTATTTCATGAGGAAAAATGTGTGTGCTACTTAAGTCCTGAGACTCGATGACTGTCTCACATGTGCACTTGCCATGTCCCGTGATTCTGTCTTACAGCCGAACTGCTCGTTTTCAGTGTTCCGATTGTCTATGAGAAGTACAAGGTAAGTGTTGACCTGTTGTGAATCAGATATGTGTTGGTGCGTGACTAGTGTTAGTTCATTTTTTAGGTATTGAAAGTTCAGAGCAATCTTCTTTTTCTAAAGTCTAATTTTATATGTCAGGTGCCCATAAGAAATGGTCACAGTGGTTTCATCTGGTTTCTCTAAGGAGAGAAACTGAATGTCTAGAAGAGATAAGGGCATGATGCAGACTTAACTTTTATACCTTATTATGTGCTTTTTGTGTTTTTATCACATGAATACATTATCTGCTCAAAAATATAAGTTGAAAATGTTTAAATAAATCAGAGCTCTTGTCTAAAAAGAAACTTAAACTACTAAGAAACCATTAAGGCTATTCTGGGACTCCATCGGTGTGAACAGATATTTGCTTGTGGAATGGCGTATACAGACTATATTAGATTCTATGGTGTTATTCTTTCTGGATTAAGTCATCCATCAACAGACTTTATGGTTTTTTGGTATTAAATGAATTAGTCTTATCAGGAGCCAAAACACATTTATGATTACAGAAAATAGATTGGATGCACAGTTTCTAGTATTCAGAAAGTGCTATTATAAGTCCAGTGTCTCTAAAGGAAACACCTAACCAGTAAGACTTACCTCTGCAAAAGAAGTGAGTGATTTTTACTGCAACCGAGTATGGGGTGTTTATGGCATAATTTAAATTCTGAAACCTGCAGTTTTTAAAATACTTTCAAAAGTCGAGCATTATTTTCATTTTCCAGAATATTCAGTAGTGTTTTTAAAAAATGATTAAACTAGACAAAAGAATATAACCTTCAGGAAAATCGTTTATCTGTGCGTTGCCACAACTGAGTCGTTTTCCTTCCTTAAAGACCCAGATTGATCACTATGTTGGCATCGCCCGTGATCAGACCAAGTCGATCGTTGAAAAGTAAGTATGCTTAGGTTCCACAGTTGATCCTGACGTGTGCTTTTTCTCCCCCAATGACTTTTAGTCCCCTGTGTAAAATGCTGATGCACACTTTCACCCTAAAATGTGATTTTCACCCTGAAAAAAAAAAATCTTAATTTGTAGTATGATGTTACCAGATGCTTCTTTAAAAAGAACATCCTTTGTATCTTAGACTAAAAAGGATCAACGGAATCAGGACCACTCTGCATTTTGAACTGGCTTTTAAATGTTTTGGTTGTCTCCTCCTTTATTTTCACATATTCAATTTTAAGCCAAGCTCTTACGTCTTTTCAGAAATCAAGTTTTAGTGAATAAATGTCTTAAGGCTCAACACTACCTCTTTCCTAAAACCACCAAATCTGTTTTCATTTTTAAAACCAATTTGATATTTAAATCTTAAATCAAGGAATAAAATCTTGGTAGACATTTTTATGACTCCCTATATCAAGGAAAAAAAAATTTTTTTTTGAATTATTTATAGCAAACACTATGGATCCAGCACTTCAAATTAAAATGTCAACATTTTTTCATATTTTCCTCAGATATTCTTTAAGAAACAAAATGTCACAGACAGTTAAATCTACCCTTTGCGTCAGCCCCTTGCACACCCCAGACTTCAGTGCTTTCTTAGAGCTTTGATAAGAGGAAACTGTGACTGTGGTCGGACAGCTCTGGCTTGATGCCAGGCCTTTACCTGCCCTTTTGCTTTTCTAGGTACACATCAGAGCTAGAAGCAGGCAAGGACACTGAGCACAAATACATATCCGCTTGCTGTCCACCCCTGACTGTGAAAGATGGTCTTGATTAGCAGTTTGGCTGACCAGGCCCCTGCCGTGGGATGTCACACTTAGGGAGTAGCTTTGACATTCACTGAGAGGTATAAATGACCTTAGTCATGGGGAGTTTTAAACAAAATAGAGGGCAGCTTTGGTGTCCTGTGAGGAGCTAGGAACTATTGCCAGCTCCTGTAGTTTTTTAATGTGTCTCCTTGACCTTGACTTCTGGTTCCTTTTGTGGCACTAGTGTGTGACCTGGCATTCCCCGATAAATGGGCCTTTGCATTGCCAGTGTGTAGAGCAGTCAGCAAGCATTATGTCCAGATACCCCTTTTTCTTCACTGGACCCCCCAGTGAAGGACCCACGGGGTGCTGGCAGTGAAAGAGGACATGGTGGCAGGGAGGGGGTGGACCTTCGTGGACCCACTCAGCACATCCCAGGCCAGATTCCTGCCGTCCATCGTAAGCCCTGTGGAAACGGGAGAATGTTCTTCATGCTGCTCCAGCAAGTCACGGACTGTCTTCTAGCATCACTGTTAAGATAAAAACCTAGAGCTAATGTCTGTTTTTACCCTTTTTTTTTTTCCCTCTTGTCCTCAATAGGATCCAAGCAAAACTACCTGGAGTCGCAAAAAAAAAGGCAGAATAAGTACATGGAAACCAGAAATGCCACAGTTACTAAAACACCATTTAATAGTTATAATGTTGTTACTTGTACTATGAAGGAACTGCTCAGTGTCAGCTTGAGCCTGCATTCCAAGCTTATTTTTTTTTTTATTTGGTGTTTCCCCTCCTTTCCCTTTACCCGCAGTATCAAGCACAAGAATTGTTGGACTAAAAGAAGAACTGATATCTTAGAACCCAAAAGAATAAAGACAGAATCAGTTTAATAGGCTAAATCAGAACCTTAATGGTGGTGGAGCTTTCACATGTAGCTTGAAAAAGGCGAAAGAGTCAGAGGTAAAGGAGAAAATGAAAACACATCTCCTGGGTTGTTCTATTTAATTTTCACGGACTAGTCTTACACAGCTTCCCATCACAATTTTGCTCTTATTTTTAAGTTAAGAATTAATGGTTAACTTATAAAGAAATTATCTGGGGACAAGAGGGATTCCTTCTTTCTGGGGTTGGTGTTTTGCAGCCCTCGACCCCTCTTCCTGCCCCACAGTGTGAGCAGCTACTCCTCATATTCCTCTTCTTCACTTAGAGACCTTTCAACTCTATGGGTAACTCCTGGGTGGTAGTGATAATTCCTGGTTCCCAGAATGCCGTCTGATCATCGAGAATGGAAGCAAAGTGGGGCTGGAGAGGGAGTCAACAGGGGCATCTCTGTGGCCGCCGCTCCCTCTCTGCTCGTCCCTGGGAAGGGAAAGGCTCCGCCATTTGGGAAGGTGGTGTCTGTGTCGTTTCTTTTGGACACCAGTTCTGAGCTTTCGTTTGAGAACTCATTCCTGAATGTGCTTTCCTCTCTTTTCCCTGCCCACCTCACCTCAAGTTTAAGAAACATGGTTGTACTTTTATTGTTATGAAATAAATGTCTGTAACTGCTGTACACACTGCTGTAAACTTGTTAGAGAAAAATAATAATCTGCATGTGGGCTCCTCAGTTATTGAGTTATTGTAATCTCATCTCAGGCCTGTGGGGGGGAACATTCTCGAGAGGCGAATACAGAAACCCAAAAGGCTTTTTTTTTTTTTTTCCCCCTCCATCTTTTCCCTGCGGCTTCTTCCTTCACAGGCTGTATTTTTAACCTGTGCTCATCATTTTACCCTGAGGACCACAGCCGAGCTGGCTTGGGAGGAATCGTGTGTGTCTGTGGTTAAGAGACCACAAATTAGTATAGAGAAGTGCATCTTGTGGTTCATGGGAGTTTTAACTTTGAGGCTAGCTTCTGAGTGTGTTTTGTGGGTTCCTTTCATTTTCAGGCACATAAAATGTTCTAGCATCTCTGCCGTGGCCCAGGGTGCTGCTTTTGAGAGTGTTTCCCAAGAAGCTGTAGGGAAGGGTGACCGGGCAGGGTCAGAGTGTGTTGACGGGCTCCACGTACAACCAAAAGACAACGGAACTGCTCGCTCTGGCATCAGATGCAGAGTGATTGAGAATCTGGGATTCCTGTTTGAGACTAATAGATGTCTTCCTCCCCTTCCAACATGAAAATTTAGTAAACTTGAACGTCATCTGTGAGTTCCTTCAGGTTGTTACTCGTCATGATAAACCAGAGGGAGTATGCACTGATGACTTTAAAGTAAGGGCTATAATCTTTGACGGTCCCAAAGCACTGCAACACTATACAAGGTCGTGGAAGGGAATTTTCTTTCCACTTTTTTGGGAAAACTACTTAGAGATTTAGTTGGGTAAAAGGTACCCTTGCCTTACTCGGTTCTTATTTTCTTAGCCCCCTTTCTTTTTTAATTTTCAAACCAATTTCATGTCGTAGTGTAGGAAATGCACCTTCCATCCCCATCTTTTGCCCTCCCAAGAAGTCGGTGGACTGGTCATGTTTTTGGGCTTCCCCTCCAAAGGACCTTTTTCTGCACTGGAAGCCTCCACGCGTAGCTCTTTTGTTTTATTACTGCTGTGTTTAGATAATTGGACAGATCTTTGTGTCACACAGGATTTTTTTTTTTTTTTAAGAAAAAAACTATAGATGAAAAATTACTAATGAAACTGTGCGTGTATGTGCGTGCAACATAAAAATAGAGTAGCACCTAAGGAGCTTGAATCTTGGTTCCTGTAAAACTGCAAATTGATGTGGTATTAATTAAAAAAAAAAAACACAATGTCTGTGGTGTCATTCTGCTAACTTTATTCTTTATACACAGTTTGGGTAAAGTAAGAACCAAACAAGGCTTCCACTGGCCCCCATCCCCACTCCACTTCTGAGGCTTTAAAAAGCAACTAAGAGTTGATAACATAATGATGCTCAAGACTGAAGAATTTCCATAGAGCAAAGGTGTGCGTTTGGTTTCTGAAAGAAAATAAGAGCCCCTCCTAAGAGGTGAGCTTAGGAGAAAGATGAGCAGGAGGGGCCGGAGGGGTCTCTTGTCGCAGTTCAGCCCCATACCAACCTAGGAGGGTTCCCTGCCTGCAGCATACGAAGCAGCCTCTAAATCACAGTCACAATGCACTTATATTTGAGAGTCAGTCACCATGGAAAATGGGAACTAAACACATCAGGTCTTTGCTGAAACAACCTGTCACCTGGGATTTGCTCTTCACAACTAAGGCTGCCGTGACCCTTAAGCTGGATTTCAAATTTTTATTCAACATACCTCTTAGAAAGCTTAGGCTGAAATGAAAAAAATAACTGATGCAAACTTCACAAATACACATACAAATGTTTGAATAATGTCACTAACTTGGCATATAAATATGTATTCAGAGTAACATTTACATATTGGCTGTAATAGCAAGCATACCATTAACAAAAAATTCATGAAGAAACTTCACCTGTTCAGACCCCCAAGGCAAGGAGGCACACCTAGAGATGAGGGTCCCCTGACCCCTAAGCCGTGAGACCTTAGCTCCAAAGTAGGAATCGTGACAGTGGCACTTCCTAAATCACTGGTGCTCGAACTTCAGTGAGCCTTGTGATCACAGGAGGGCTTTATATTAGCAAGAGTGCTGGGCCTGCCCGTTTCTGATTCAGGGAGGTGGGGCCTGAGAACCGTTTCTGGCAGTTCCTGATGCAGTGCTGTTGGTCTGGTGGCCACTCAGAACCACTGATGCTTCGGGCTGTCTCTCCACAAAGACATCCATTCCTGTCCTAAAGGCCCCTCCCTGCCTACCAAGAGGAATAAACCGTTCCTTATCAGGTCTCTGGCCTGGTTTACCTGAACTTCGGCAGTGGGCTCGGGTGGCTAGAACGGGTCGCCCCAATATGCCTACTGTTTTTGAACAGGCAGAGTAGCAAAAATGGTAGAATACTCATTCTGGATCTGAAAACATGCGTGAAGGAAAATAAAAGAATGGCAGTGCCCAGCCTGGTGCCATCCATAATCCCTGTTCTCGAGCTTTTAATACTGTTTCAGAAACCCTGGAGATTCAAACACTAGGAATTCACTTTTCGGTCGACTAATGGCCCATGCAGTATTTCCTGGTGGCATCAACAACACGATGCCGGAGCCCTTGCCCTACAGGGGAGGATCTGGGCCAGGGGACAGTCAGCCCCACTTCCGGAGTTCTAATGAAGAAGGCAGCTCCTACACCCTCCAGCTGAAGCCTGGGGTGGCAAGGGGAAGTATGCAGCTCTTGGCCATCCCCAGGTCACAGCCTGCAGCTCCCAGCTCATGCCATCCTTTGGCAGGCCTAATGGGAAATAACTTACCAGAGACTGGGAGGCAGTGCCCTTATAGTGCAAAGGAACTAAATTAGGAGTTTTTATTCTTGGACTGTCCTACCTGGCTGTGTGATCGTTTCAGTTTCTGGGCTTTATTTTCACCTATCTGTGAAAGGGGTGGGGGCAGATACTAGTTAATCTCCAAGGTCTTTCCAACTCTGACAATCTTGAGTTATATAAAAATGTTATAAAATCCGTGATATAAAATCCAATTCCCAAATCAGGAAGAGTCAAGGGGACTGGGCCTGAGGCACTTGAACCTTGGGCTCTGGCCTGGGGGTGGGGGGCAGCTAGGAAGAGAGGAAGAGCTTCCTCTTTCCTCTAGATTTTCTCTCCCTCAGAGGCAGCCCCTGGCCCCAGATTTCAGGGCCCCTCCCCACTCCAGGCCCAGCCCTCGGGTCCCACCCGCTGACCACCCCACTCTCAGGCTTTAAGACCAGAAGAAATGGCCTGGCTGTGACGAGCAGACATTGGGGCCCGGAAGTGAGGAGAGGCCTGGAGAGTCAGACATTGGTTTGGGATGCTTGGGGTCCTCTCAACGCCCCCCTCTGTCCTCGCTCCTTCCTTTAGGTCCTTCCACCACCACCTCACAGCTTATCTCTGATACACGCATAATAAATAAGACATTTGCACATAAGGGTGACTGGGACAGCTCTCTCCCCACCCTCCCCCTTTCATATAAAAGCATTAAATACAATTTCAAAATAAAATACAAAGAGCAAAAAGGGCCTGATCTTGGGGCCACCTGTTCTCCACAGGAGAATGAATCTACACATTCCTCTCGGACCTGCCTGGGAGATCGCGGGGCCCCTTCCCAGCCTCACAGGGCCTGGCGCTGCCGCGGGGAAGAGAAAGGCCGAGGCCCGGCCCCAGGCCCCTGCGGGCTGCGAATGGGTGGCGCAACCACTGCGCACGAAGGGGTACAGGGAGGGGACGGGTATGTGCCGCCAACTACCAGGACCTCCAGTGCCCCGGGCTCGGACCGACGGGGGCGCTGAAGCAGCAGCGCCTGAATGAGCTGAGGGGTGAACGGAGGCCCCCGGAGCAGGAGAGGAGCAAAGGAAAAAAGTGCTAACCCCTTTACGAGATCTCGGTCCGGCGGGCGCGGCCAGTGCGGGGAGGCGGGTGGGGCCGCCAGCGTGCGGTCCCCTCGGAACCCGCTCGGGAGGACAAAGAAACAATGGATTCTGCCAGCACATCTGTCTGGGAAAAAACTGCTCCTTCAGCCTTCTCCCCGAAGTCAGACAATTCATTTTTTTCCCCATATATCCCTGGTGATTTTCGAGCTGCTTCCACAGCACTGGAGCTCAGAGCAAGTGAGGCCCCCGAGCTGGGCCCCCGGCCAGGGAAGGGGCCGGGGCAGCTTTCCTGCCCTTTCTGCCACCCCCCTATGTCGTCCTAATACTGACTGTCGGCGCCCCGACCCCGGCCCGGCACAGGATCGCCTGGCGGGGTACGGCCGGACACCGGCCGGGGCTAGAAACGCTCCGTGCAAACGTCGGGAGGCCGCTGTGGCTTCTCGGGAAAGGTGGGGCCCTGCGTGGGGAGGACCAGGACCTGCGCGGTCCGACTAGCTCCGGGAGCTCCGTGGCACCTCACCGATCCCCAATCTGCGCCCGGCCCGGCCAGCGGGGG